CCACTCGTTATTTTCCTAACACCACTCTATATGAGTTCTCCATCTTCCGCTTGAATTTGCTTCGACATTCCAATCTACATTTTACTCTTTTATCGAAATGGGCAACCAAAAGACAGCAACCAAAACCGGCGCACCAAAGTGCATGAATAATGGTTGTGCAAGCGACACTACTTTAGCAGTCATCTGCACGAATATACCCGAACCAATGACACAGACCTAAAGGGAACGTTAAGCGAAAGAGTTTAGCCAGTGGAATGAGTTGTGTCCAGATGGGCATCAGAGTTCAACCTGCGTACCTCACATGTCTTGTTGGTCAACCCTCCTCGCCTCACACGGGGGAACCCTGATTGCTTCCGATAACCTTGATAAACGAAAATCACGTCGAAGTCATTCTTCTCTGAAGCTACCTCCTGAGGAATAGCTCGTCTAAGATAAGAATCCTGCTTGACAGATCGTGGACGGAGCGCACGAATCACAAGGCTAATCCGAAGAGTGCTCGTGAGATTCAAAATAAAACGGTCGTCCTCATCCACAGAGTCTCACAGTTAAACGATACAAGGGAATCCGAAAGTTAGAAGATCGATTGCAAAGAGTAGTAAATTGCACAGAATTTATCAGAATATCACAATAGGCCACCACATAAATCAGTCGACCTGCTTGTTCACCAGACTACCACGGCAGCGGTCCAGGGATAATGAAATTTATTCTTGGTACTCCGAAAATGATCACCGTTTGGCAATCATGGCAGGAAACGGAGTCCGCCAGAACTGTGCCTCACACCACTGCTAGTTCTTAAATCCCACAAATAGCCCACAGTTGAAGGATACTATCAACACACTTTCATCGGAAGACCGAAGTATCAGAGCATTCCCCTCAAAAAACGAGTATTAGCCAACCACGATGTAGTCGGCAAAGATACCTTTTCTCAAACAATGGGATTTTTACATCAACGATACCTGAACTGTTGCTATACCTATGCACAAGGATTCCCCAGTAAATTTTCCGAACTCGAATGGCGATTCCAATAGAAGCAGCGGGATATCACCGCTGTTACCGAGACGTGGCTGTCAGCTGAAATCATTGTGTGTCTCTTCTAAGATGCGATCGTCCCATACGCGTCGGTAGTGTTTTACTTTTCGTTCACGATCTTTAGTGCAACGTAATCAATTCTGCAGTTTCGGCTCTTGACACACTTGGGTGTAGGTTACGACTGTCCAAGTACGATGAATTTTGGATTGGCGTAGTCTATCGTCCCTCATCAGCCCCGGAGACAGCCAACGAAACGATATCGCACATTCTTACACACAAATTTGACCATGTTCTCCTACTGGGTGTTTTCAACTGCTCCAGTCTCAATAATTAGACGACCGTCCGTCCATTATTCGAACTTTAGTTCAAACGGCTGTTTTACTAGCATCCACTGTACAACCATGTTAAGGAGGGTAGAAGTCGCAAGAAAGCAGTAGTCCGACAACTCACGTCACAACTGATCTGACAAAAAAGCCCACTTGGATTATAAGGATAGGAGGAACAATGTTTGCGCTGTCTCACCTGTGTCTTTCCACGTTCACTTAGTCAGGCAGTGGATGAGGGCGTTGTTTATCAGCCATGACTGGTATGTGTGTGCGCGCACATGTCTAGGTTTCACCGCTCGGCCGTCGCAATCATACTCCATATCCTTCGCTGACCGACATTTACTGCTGAAAGCGGCAAAACTAATGGCTTTACGAAAAAACTGCAACCTCAGGTTTGGGTAGTATATATCCGAACTCCATTATATTTCTGACGAATCACATATATGAATCATCAGCCATTCGATTCCAACAGATGTTCGACTATGCAACATTCCGAAAATCGTCGAAAGACAGATTCATTTCTACCATATACAAAAGTGGTTGCCATAGAGATCCCGCTAACCACCCACCTGTAACCCTACTGTCAGTGTTATCGAAGGTCATAGAGTCGATTGTGACAGATTCATTCATGGAACACTTAGAAAGAAACGACGTTCTTCGACAGCTGAACATAGGTTCAGGCAGAGGTGATGCTGTTCCACCAAATTGCTTCTTGTTCTAGATGATTAGACCAGGACAGTCGGTGAATGGGGTGCAGTGGATGTGATTTATATGGACGTCTCGAAAGCATTTGATCGGGTAAACCATAAAATTTTGTGGCATAAGCTTTACAATCACACTATTTAAGGTTTTGTGCTTCAGATACCCTACCCGGTTCTATCAACGTTACCCGTGATGTTCCAGAATGGTCTGTTCTTAGTCCCTGGCATTTCCTCACATTCATGAATGATCTACTAAATGCGCTCGGGCCAAGAACAATACTGTTTCTCAGACGACGCCAAAATCTGGAATAAAGTAACAGAATCCGAGGGTTCATTACCACTTCCAGAAGCACTTAACGCAGTTTATCGAGGATCTATGGAGAACGACCATGAATTCAATGTTTGTACATGTAAAATCCTATCCCCACAGGAATAGATTCCCGCATTCCTCAGGAAGTCAGCACCTGCCACCTACCTGATATGAGAAGGATCCAGGTATAATTGTTCTAGAAAACTTAAGCAGCTCGACCATTTGTGCCAGGACTTTGTATGCTGCAGTGAAGAATGTCGGCTTGCTTTGGCGATTCTTCGGTCAATCTGAATCAACATGGTTCCCGCGCTTGCTATCGGTGTACATTCGACCGTACAAACAGTGCGCCATCCAAACCTGGGATCCATGGATAAGACGTGATCGTGAGATGCTGCGGCTTTCACAAAGGATCGCTACCAAGATGGTCAAGGGAGTGAACTGTCTCGTCAACGGGGACAGATTATAATCATTGGGACCATATTATTGTACTCAGTACCGCCGAATTCAAGGAGACTTGACTTAGTTGTACCAAATATTGGAGAACAGAAACAGCCCATGTCGTCCGCTGCTCACGTTATCGCCCAACATACACCTCAGAGGACATCGCTTCAAGTTACCGACTCCAAATGTCGATGGGAATGCCGGCGTTCATATTTTGCGGTAATACTTGGAACACCCTTTCATCTGACGTCGTTTTTGCGCCAACTGTTGGGATTTGATGAAACCCTACACAACTAAAAACGTAAATAAGTTAAAGGCAACATTGTGTGTTATCTCCGTACCCGGAACTACATGTGATATTTATCATTTTTGCCGAGAAACTATTCAATTGCGTCAATATCCTATGGGGACAAGAAAAGTATGAGCTTGTAAGTAATTATCATAATGAAACTGGTTTTGAATAAACCATTCATTCACTGTCGAAATCACCACGTATTTACTTGATTCGCTAGTCAAGCGCACCAAATTGGTGGTGTAGCAAAGGACAGCCCCCTGGGCACAACATTAACGGATGTATTTCTAGGAACGGTTGAAAGACGATTGCTAACCAAGAACTATCGAGGAGCTCAAACAGAGTATTGTCGCGCAGTACAAAAGTATTCCAACTGAAGGTGGAGGAATACTATCTTCGCGGCATTTGTCCATGCCAGCGGCAGACTGGAAGACGTACCAAACAACTTTTTTAAAATGTGCATTTTTCTATAATATTTTTTTCTCTCCTCCGGATTTCTATCTCCAAGACCGTTCAACGCAAAAAAGCCATTTGTTAAAATTCTAAGAGTTTTGTGTTGGCCTATATTAGTGGATATTGTTGTCCGTAGTTAAGATAAGTTCAGTTTGATTTTGATTATCTGTTTATCGAACCCGCTTAGAAAATTAGTGCGTGTATCTTCGACGAGTCCAACTTTGGCCCAGTGTCATCATCCCTTGAACGTTTTTTATTCCGAATTTCCCACATTGCACACCGTTCCATAACTGATTCTCCTGTGATTCTCTACCAACACTTAAGCGCACCTAGAACTTGTCCTCCTCCTATGCCGGACCGAAAATCACACGACTGGTTGGGTTCATTTATCCATCGGTCGGATGGTCCAACCGCAACAACGGGCATGATGCTTACCCAGCTAACCCGAGCGAGAAGACACTTTGCTTACAGCCGCGAGTCTTTAGCAGGCCCAGTGAACTTCGGCTGTACAGCAGACTTGCCATCACCAGACGGATGAACTGAACGTGACAGTAAGAGCATCACAACAAGTACAAGACAGAGTGAAACGACGGAACAATCGCACTATCGTACTATCCACATAACAACACATGACATCTTAAATTGAAAAAGGTATAGAGGGTAGTCGCGATATCCAATGTCTGGGAACACCGTAATCCCATTTTTCTTTACAACAGTGCACCCTCTCTCTCTCTCCTTTATCTGCTTCTCTCATTTAGGTCACTCTACACAACTCGATCGAATGGATTAATCTGTCTACTACAGGCACCCTGACAGGTGCCTCTATTCCCGCCTTGCCCACATGTAGTCCGGATACACCCTCACGGTCCAGCACAGCCACCGGGTCGGTCGATTTACATCCAGGTCAATCGTTGAATGCGGTGATTCATTACGAACTAAAAGAATTGGGACCACACACGTTGCGCTGCTCCGCTTCTTACTATTTGCTCACTCAATCAGCTGCTGTCATTTCACCAATCAGTTCATCATTCAAAGGTAATATCACTAATCAATCGGTGCTTCATCTCCTGTGCTGTTCACCAGCTGGAATTGACTGATTTGTTATATTACGCTTTGCAGTTATGCACGATAATCCAATAACCTAACCTACTAATATCGTTAGAGGTTCGACTTTGTATGGCAAAACTTAGAATAACCTAACGGGAAAATTGCAGAACTTCTGTTTGAAATCTAACTGGGAGACAGTCGCCATTCTTCTGCCTTGCCGTCCAGTTTCTAATCCCCTTGTCCATGCCTTCTAATTCGAGGGACAATGTACAAATAATGCTCATTATGGCAGATCACAGGTTACAGAGTTATGTGCTGCCAGATTGCGGAAAGGAACGATCCTGCAATGTGGTGGTTAACCGTGAATCGATGCTCAACAAGTGAGCGGTCGAGGATGTTGTGGGATAGCGGTCCAGTCAAAATCACACACTGCAGCTCTTTTCGGATTCAATCGATGTTGTCAGACTAGTAGTTAACCGTTTTTTCTGTATTGAGCGTACCTCACTTGACGGCCCGATTTACTTTTTTATCGCTTTTTGGCTAACTCTTGCAAATTTAATGGGTTCTTTTATACATCAACAGTGATGTGTGTGTGTTTCGAATGACACTACCAAGTCAGTAAACGTGTGCACCCTCAGCACATGAGTGACATTCAAAATGCATGAACGTGAGTTTGAAGATAAATGGATATGCACTTTGGTAGACCGGACAATACGCGTCAGTTCACTTTTGTGCTAGTAGACCAGTCGCATAGGTGATATACGGACTGGTCCATTTAACAGATATTTTTCGTATGTCACTTGTCGAGAAGTGAAATTGACTTCGCTGTTGCATATTGTGGATGACTTCCCCTGTGCGATTGATGTCACCGATTGTCCGAGTTGTAGACACTCATATTCATCTGATTCAGTCTAATGTTTTCTGCTTAGACATCTTGATGAAATGGGAATATTCTTCCCCGGAATCCATAGTAGCAAAAGAGAGTGTAACAAAAGAGCTAGATGGACTGCTCTTTTTTATATGGTCAGAGCATATATACAAACCAACAGAACCTGCGGAGAATAACATGAATGTGCATCGGCGTCGATTGGATTCACATCTTATCCGCTGACGTCTTTTTACAGGTGATACTTAGCCTATTTGCTCACCATTCCGTGTGCCACCAGCTGCATTTTCTTGCTTGTCTCAATCATTTTTGATGTCCGTTATCATACATCGATTCAATGATTTGTCATTCATTCGTCTGAGCAGTTGAACGCTAACGTTTTCGGACCACCATAGGGTAAGATCTGTCACGGTTTCTCGCCTCCCTTCGTCCAAACTCGACTGAGCAAATATATTTTAACGTTTATACACAAAAACCACCATCTCAAATAGCAGCTGGGAAAACCAAACCCAGTCATTTTTTCCATAAATACGGTGTTTTGTTTGGAGACCTTCATCTCAGAAGTGTCATTTTTCTTTCTTGCCTGCCTTTTTTCCTTTGTTCGATCGGTGTCAGGATGCTTCTGCGTAATTGCAGAAACCGTCGTGCGATGTACTTGTTAACTATCACATTCCTAAAGTGTCACATGTTTTCCACGTACCTGTTGTTAACACAACCGATTCGTCCCATTCAACTCTATATTGCTTTCCTCCCAATCTCTCCGGAGCACCGTATCTGTGATCTCCACGTCCAATCCCTAGCTGCTTGCCCGTTTGTGAAGCATTTTAAGTTAATCTTATTTGACCATTTCTAGTTTGCCTTGTTAGTTTACGATTCAGTCCGATTTTCTTCATCGCCACCAGGTGACTGGTTTTCTCGTTTTGTCAGCTCCGTGCGTGATTGGTAACCTGAAATGCTTGCTGGTTTGGTTCGGTGTTCCTACTCTGTCCCGCTCTCCGGATTTTCCTCTCCTAATTCTTAGTGTACTGAATGAGACAGACTGCTTCTTCCGCCTCATTGTCATCTTTTCGTGTACGAACTGGAATTTTCAAGCGAAAATTCCCCGTGGATACAGGACAGTGGTGCATTTACGTATTCGTACACGCCGGAAACGAATTCATTTCTCACGCTTTGGTTAACTCTGCTGAACACGCACACCACGACCACGGTCAATATTTGATGTGATTGCTGTCATTGGTTGGGATGTACCGAATCCATTGGTTTTCCTTTCCTCTTTTTCTCTCGAAGATGAAGATTAAACGTCGAGGACTCTCGTTGGTTTGGGGCACAGGAAAGCACTTCCATCCAGTCGTATTGACCAATCTCAGCACAGCCGACAATTGTTTAACACCTCAGTAGTGTTATGAAGGTCGGATTCTAAACAAAATACTGTCTCCCACAAGATATAGTTTGTTCAGAAGTAGCTTGCTTCTCGTAGTCTGCTGGGGAGAAATGTCATCTGTTCGCTGGTTCAAACAGTAAGCTCTGATTTGATCCGACAAAAGAGGTGGTTCGGTGAATATCTCTGGATTTGGTTTTCTTCGTTCTCCTCTTCTCCCCGCCAAACGGTTTTTGGTAACTGGGCAAGCGTTTTCCTGCCATGCTTTTTATATCAGTAATTACAGTACTAGTAAGTTCATGACACCGGTGAAGTCTTACATCTCTACTTAATCAAGGAATGCTTATTTTTGTAATTTCTTTAGAAGAGACATCCCAGATGTTTAGTTCGGGTTTAGTTCCGGTCGAATTTGTACTAGTTTCATAGGTCAGGACATGTGTTCATCGATACTATGATAACATTTGTGCGCCTTATTGTCTCTTCCATCCTGTTGTTTTCTTTTGCTCAATCAGAATGTTCTGTTACCATCGATTCAGGTCAGAAATCGTTTTCTATCCAGATCAGTAATCTCTCTCCAGTTACTCATTGCTTCTTTAGCTCCTAACAATGCTCGGTTTTTG